TCCCAGTTTTTTCATTTTTTCCCAAAATTGAATAAATCTGCAAGGGGTAAGCCTTGCATTTTGACTAAAAATGGCCCAAAATTCAAATTTCCCCCAAATCCCAGTTTTTTCATTTTTTCCCAAAACTGAATAAATCTGCAAGGGCTAAGCCTTGCATTTTGACTAAAAATGGCCCAAAATTCAAATTTCCCCCAAATCTCAGTTTTGTCATTTTTTCCCAAAAATGAATAAATCTGCAAGGGGTAAGCCTTGCATTTTGACTGAAAATGGAACAAAATTCAAATTTACCCCAAATCTCAGTTTTGTCATTTTTTCCCCAAATTGAATAAATCTGCAAGGGGTTAACCTTGCATTTTGACTAAAAATGGCCCAAAATTCAAATTTCCCCCAAATCTCAGTTTTCTCATTTTTTCCCCAAATTGAGTAAATCTGCAAGGGGTTAGCCTTGCATTTTGACTGAAAATGGACCAAAATTCATATTTCCCCCAAATCCCAGTTTTGTCATTTTTTCCCAAAATTGAATAAATCTACAAGGGGTAAGCCTTGCATTTTGACTGAAAATGGCCCAAAATTCATATTTCCCCTTAAATCCCAGTTTTTTCATTTTTTCCCCCAAATTGAATAAATCTACAAGGGGTAAGCCTTGCATTTTGACTAAAAATGGCCCAAAATTCAAATTTATCCCAAACCTCAGTTTTGTCATTTTTTTCCCAAATATGAATAAATCTGCAAGGGGTAAGCCTTGCATTTTGACTGAAAATGGCCCAAACTTCAAATTTCCCACAGATCTCAGTTTTTTCATTTTTTCCCAAAATTGAATAAATCTACAAGGGGTAAGCCTTGCATTTTGACTGAAAATGGCCCAAAATTCAAATTTCCCACAAATCCCAGTTTTTTCATTTTTTCCCAAAATTGAATAAATCTGCAAGGGGTAAGCCTTGCATTTTGACTGAAAATGGACCAAACTTCAAATTTACCCCAAATCCCAGTTTTGTCATTTTTTCCCAAAATTCAGTAAATCTGCAAGGGGTTAGCCTTGCATTTTGACTGAAAATGGACCAAACTTCAAATTTACCCCAAATCCCAGTTTTGTCATTTTTTCCCAAAATTCAGTAAATCTGCAAGGGGTTAGCCTTGCATTTTGACTGAAAATAGCCCAAAATTCAAATTTCCCCCAAATCTCAGTTTTCTCATTGTTTCCCCAAATTGAATAAATCTGCAAGGGGTTAGCCTTGCATTTTGACTGAAAATGGACCAAAATTCATATTTCCCCCAAATCCCAGTTTTGTCATTTTTTCCCAAAATTGAATAAATCTGCAAGGGGTAAGCCTTGCATTTTGACTGAAAATGGCCCAAAAATCATATTTCCCCTTAAATCCCAGTTTTTTCATTTTTTCCCCAAAATTGAATAAATCTACAAGGGGTAAGCCTTGCATTTTGACTAAAAATGGCCCAAAATTCAAATTTCCCCCAAATCCCAGTTTTGTCATTTTTTCCCAAAATTGAATAAATCTGCAAGGGGTGAGCCTTGCATTTTGACTAAAAATGGCCCAAAATTCAAATTTCCCCCAAATCCCAGTTTTTTCATTTTTTCCCAAAATTGAATAAATCTGCAAGGGGTGAGCCTTGCATTTTGACTGAAAATGGACCAAAATTCAAATTTACCCCAAATCCCAGTTTTGTCATTTTTTCCCAAAATTGAATAAATCTGCAAGGGGTAAGCCTTGCATTTTGACTGAAAATGGCCCAAAATTCAAATTTACCCCAAATCCCAGTTTTGTCATTTTTTCCCAAAATTCAATAAATCTGCAAGGGGTTAGCTTTGCATTTTGACTGAAAATGGCCCAAAATTCAAATTTATCCCAAATCTCAGTTTTGTCATTTTTTCCCAAAATTGAATAAATCTGCAAGGGGTAAGCCTTGCATTTTGACTGAAAATGGCCCAAAATTCAAATTTCCCCCAAATCCCAGTTTTGTCATTTTTTCCCCAAATTGAATAAATCTACAAGGGGTAAGCCTTGCATTTTGACTAAAAATAGCCCAAAATTCAAATTTCCCCCAAATCTCATTTTTTTCATTTTTTCCCCAAATTCAATAAATCTGCAAGGGGTAAGCCTTGCATTTTGACTAAAAATGGCCCAAACTTCAAATTTCCCACAAATCTCAGTTTTGTCATTTTTTCCCCAAATTGAATAAATTTACAAGGGGTAAGCCTTGCATTTTGACTATATTTTGCAATATTATCTTCTCCCACCAACCTTTGAGCTGTACTACGATAGTTTTGTAACATGTACTCCAGTCACTTCTAGAAACTCCTCTGATCTACAAGTTTTGACAATGACGTATCCAGGTTCGGGTCCGAAAGTACTTTCACACTACAGTTAACATGTTTTTCACCTGTACGTTTTTTTCATGCCCCTGCCAAAAATTTGATAACAATATTTCGGAATTGAAAATGTTTTCCGTAATTTTTTTTTTTAATTCGCCACTTGCCTCCCCTCCCCATCATGTGCTATTTTCAGAGGGTAAATGCTGGTCTCAGCCCCCCCCCCCCCCAACAAAAAAATTCCAGGTGCGTCACTGGCTTAGACTGAGCAACCATCATTGATGCATAAATCTCCTAAGATCTAGAGGCCTTACGCAGGTTGTTTCTCCCACTTTTTTTCAGGAAAGCTGCGGAGAACTAAACAAATCAACGTTAGACCTAGACCCATAAACAGAGCCAGACGAATACTCCTCTTTAGTAAACGATCGACGGAGTTTTCGTTGGGCCCTGTTTACCGGTCTATGTTAGACCCATCTTCTGGGCAGTTTCCCTCTGTATTCATTCAAGCATTATGAGTGTACATAACTAAGATTTAGGATGAGATTGTAGGCCTTCCCGTTATAAGCTTAAATTTAGCCTTTACCCCTGTCTCTGTGGCTTCAGAATTAGCTTCAGGCAAATATCGCGGCAATGAATGCATTCCAATCTGAGGGTTCTTTATAAATGAGTTATATAAAGAATGTGTCCTCTGACTAAAAGCCTGGCATGGTAAAAGTACGATTACCCATCTCTAAGGTTTTAAGACAATTTTTCTCTGGAGATGAGTAAAACTAAAAAAAAATACTTACCTTTTCACCTCTGCATTCGACGTTGGGCCTCTCTACACGCAAGTACCAAACCCGCAATGTCACAAATAAAGTTCTGAACCTGCCACGTGAGGGTTAAATCTTAACTTCAAACTGGTTCCCGTCTGTCATCAACGGTATGATGTATCCATACCACAAAAAACAACCTTTCAAAAACCTACCCGGTACAGCATTTATGGACCTTCTCAAAAGCGGTGGGACAAATCTGCACTCTGAAGATAAATCTGACTCGACACCAACCTCACAGACTCCTTTTTTGACACCATGGCCGCTCACCATGTGTGTACGGAAGACTTACTCCATGCATGGAGTATGGAGAGCGAAAAGCGGCCATCTGCTTCTCTGCTATCAGAATAATAGAAAAGCTGGTTTTACGTTTTTGTAACAAGCAATTGTTGACTTTTCTGCTACCTCAAGAGCAGAATGATCATTTTATTGTAATGCATTTTTCCACTTAACTTTCCTCTTTTTGTTGGTGGCCGAAAAGTGGCCATCTGTATTTTAACGTGAGCAGGAAAGTGGATTGAACGTTTTGACAACAACCGTGAATTCAATTTTTCTGCTTTTGTGATACCGGAGAAGCAGATTTTACACAGGTGGCCGAAAAGTGGCCATCTGCTTTCTGTCCTCAATGGGCCGTGAATGGGGTCACGGACCTGTAGGTTACCACCATTTCCGTTCGGGGGGGGGAGTGAAGACGTATAGAAACCAATGCTTAATCATGTTTTCTGGGGACCAATCCCACACGGCAGTATCATCCAATAGATACACAAGCTTACTTGGTCCAAGGAAAAAATGTGAATCTTTCATTATAAAAGATAGGGTGGACTGTAATTATTGGTTTATACGTCTTCAATCCCCAAGAAAAGAAATGGTCATAACTTGAACCTGAGGTTCACGACCCCGTTCACGACCCCTGGAAGGCAGAAAAGCAGATGGCCACTTTTCGGCCGCCTATGTAAAATTGCTCCTCCAGCATCAAAACAAGCAAAAAGTAGAATTCACGGTTGTTGTCAAACGTTCGATCATCATTTCTGCCTGTTCGAAAAAAGAAAAGCAGATGGCCGCTTTTGGGCCGTCAGCGAACAAAGAAAAAGTAAAATCTGCCTTTTTGGAAGCAGAAAAATGCATAAATAAACAATGTTCGTTCTGGCAGAAAAGTCGAAACTGCATGTTACCAGAACATAAAATCTGTTTTTCTACTACTCTGAGAGCAGAAAAGCAGATGGCCACCTTTCGTCCGCCATTATGGAGGCATAAGATTAAGAACACAACCAAAACGCGATCTTTGATACTAAAAGCACTTGGCACGGTACGGATCGGAGCAGCCCCATGCATAACGTACATGTACATGACTGGGTGTACGCACAGTCAATCAAACCGCCCTTCAGCTCCGCCCACGAGAACACAGTGGGGAATTCCCTACGGTTTCTTTTTCAACCAAGCTCCAGTAAACAGCCTTTTTTTTCACTTTTCCCGCATTTCAAATCACGGTTGAAAGAGAAAAACTAATGAAGATCATTTGATACAATATGAATATTGACCACTTAGAGAAATACAGTTATTAGCCTCGTGGAATCATCCGAAAGTGTTCGGTTTTCCAGCGCAAACCGACAGAAGCTGCAGTGCAGTACCTCTAACCCAGAAAACGACCGCTGAACGGATGGGGGTTGTCGGTATAATTAGTTTCATCTACCAAGCAATACGTAAGCGTTATCTGTTCCTTATATCTAAAATTTTATTTACCGGTGTGTCTCATATTTAAAAAATGTAAATCAGACTTACTTGTATTTTCTCGAAACAGCTGAAAAAACTACACATTTAAACTTCCCCCTGCTGGGGAATAGTTTCTTCCATACCTGCTGAAACTCACTCATCAGCAGGTAGGTGTTCGCGCTTCTTATCCACAGAGCAAGGAAGAGGGCTAGTGATCACCAGCAGTCTATCAACGAGGTAAGTCTCATTTTCTCGGATTTCATTCCAGATATATATCCAGGTATATATCTAATAAACACTAGATTGGGTAGCTGAAGCCCAAATAAAAGGAGTAAAAATTCTCATGACATTCATGGAGTCTTTGGCACTTACAAGTTACAGACTCATTTGGCAATAGTTAGTATGTGGATATTTAACGGCCCAACAAAAACGTTAGATGTCACCATCAAAACGGCAATATCTTTTCGCGTATTTAGTATTTCAGAGACTGGTTTGAGGGTAAAATCTGACATCGTTGTTGGTCTGTTAATTAAAAGTTGCTACTGTGAATTTTCGTGGACCCTACAATCGCCAGGACATGTCCAAATTGATATTTTGAAAAAGTAATAAAATAGGATCCAAGTTGTTTGGACTGTAAACATATACGTGACATATGCTGCTGGGTATTATTTAATAGCTACGTGTTTCGGCTTCGGTTTAAACACTGTAGACTACAGTGGTTTTAATGTCAGAATGTTTAGGAAGGCCTCTACAGGCTAATTGCAGGTCATGGGAACATGGCCTCCATGTTTGTGTACAGTCAAAGTTGAGGACTTCCCTTGTTAGGCATCTGGTCTTTCTTTACTGGGTTGGGCTCAATGATTATAAATATTTGTTTGTTTGTTTGTTTGTTAGTTTGTTTTTAGCAGATCAGAGAGGCAATCTCAGCTGAAATGGAAGGGCAAGAAAATCACAACCAACCCAACATGTCATCAGAGATGAGACAAATGGCCGCTCAATTTGAGTCTTTAGTCCAGTAAGATATTGTTATTTAGACCCATGAAAATATTTAGTGATAGTCTTTCCGGGGTTTGTACAGTCTCAAATATGTTTGTCACTTTCAAACTGTTGCTTTAGCTGAGAACACTTTAACAGTTAAAGAGTCTATGTTTTGTTTGGCAGAGTTGACAGTTCATCAGGTGACCATGGAGGAAGCCATTTTGACTCTGGATTTGACACCACAGTGGACACCAGTGCAGACTCCCTACCAACTTTTGATTCCATCCAAAGTGCTGACCAACTTGACACCAACTCAAGAGACAACCAAGTAGGGGGCTCTGGAGCGGTCCATGATAGTGAGCTCCACAGAGCCAGCCAGCCAGCCAGGGATTCCTCCTTGGTTGACATGCGGGGGTCTTTTCCTGACCAGACCAGCTCAGGTGATGGCCAGGGCAGCTCATCATATGCAGCAGAGAACTTCATTCTCGACAAGTCCCAAGAAGACACCCAGTTAGCCAACTTCCTACAAGACGAGCCCAGCACTGAGCTCACCAACTCGCCTGAGGTGATTCAACGTGACCTTGAAAGAGATCAGAAACCTTCACCACAAGGGGTGAGGTATGGCAAACCAAGTGATCTGATTGCTTGTGCCAAAAGTCTGGATAAAAGAAATACTTCTGGGCAGGATGGTGTCCTGCTGGACCAGAATAAGGTATCTAACCCCCTGATTGTGGTTTTTATTTCATTTGTATGAAGTTCATTTGTATTTCATTTGTATAAAGTCCAAACTGGTAATCAGCTCACAATTAACAAGCAGCACACTCATGGATTCTTTGGTTCATGTTCATGAATATATACCAAAGAGGGGCATTTATAATTATGCTGTGCTTGCTGTTTTAGTATTTAATGAATACTTTAATCAGGATGATGTATACATACAAACTTATTTCATTTGTTCCACTCACGCACTGCTACTTGCATGCCTATAGGCAGTCTTACTTAAATTAAAGTGACCTTGTCATGACAAAATGGCTCGATTTACTAAAAAAAAAAGTGGCATGCACTAGTGCATGTTGACCAAAAAACCTACATGCACCAGGAAAACCTACATGCACCCTAATTTTGCAAATATCAGTAACGCATAATCCTGTATACAGCAATTTAAGGATTATAAATCTGCTGTGAGGAATGGAAGAAAGAAATAACAAGAATTCAACAAACTTTATTCTTATTTTCACATATTGGTAAATATATGCAGAAAATGAGTAGTTTGCTGGTTAAAAGTGAGTAAAAAAGCTACGTGCACAAGCAAAAAATCTACATGCACTGGTGCGTGCCTGCACCGGGTAAATGGAGCCCTGCATGACAATCGGAGCGTGAGCTCATTAATATCCGTTGATTGTAAAAACATCATGCATTTCTCTCTTGTGCCATAGTTTCACATCAATCAGGATAGTTATAGAGAAGACAAGGAGTATGATAAACTGGGCCTACTAGGGGAAGGGTCGTATGGCAACGTCAACATCATCAGAGACAAAATGACCAAGATGGATGCTGTGGCCAAATGTGTCAGTATTGAGGTTTTTTTACCAGCAAAATATCCGAAATCATTGAGTTGTTGGAATTGGCTCAGTAGGAGTATTGGCCTTCTATAACCTTACTGAATTCCAATAAGAAACTACAAGTAGGCATTGCGTAAACTAGAGTACATGTGTTTCCCTTTTAAGACCATTTTAATCAATCTCAGTAAACAGCTGTATGATATCCCTGAGGAAAATTGAAATTCCCCTCCAAAATTGATGGTTCTCAGTCTGCTACTGTTAAGTACATGTACTTTGCAAAATGCATTAACCGTACGACCATCCATTTTCAGGTCGAACTCGAAAATTTTGCACCTAGCGAGGCAGAGAATTGGTGCAACCTCACTACAGTCAACTCACCTTTCATAGTGCCACTGCTCGGTCTGGTCCGGAATGAGATGACGGTGATGTTATTTTCAGAATACACTCCTGGCTTGAGGGATCTGGAGGCAATAATTGAATACTTCCGTAAAGAGCCAAGACAAGTGATGGTTCTGACCATGGAGCTATTTCGAGCTTTAGTGTGTTTACATGAGAATAAGATTGTGCACAAGGATATACATGGTAAGTTGGTGTTTTTGTCTGTTCAGCTTTTAGTGATGTGGGTCGACCTTGTTCTCAGAATGCCAAACCATTTACACAGTGTAACAACCATTTACAACAGCTATTGTGATATCCCTGGATTATTGGACACAGAGTTCAGTTTCTTTTCTTTTTTGTCATGTATTTTTCAGAAAACAACATCCTGGTTAGCCAAAGCCTTGACCACATATTCCTCAAGATGAAGGTGATCGATTTTGGTGAATCCAAGAAATTTGAAGGTAAAATGTGCAGTGAGTCAGGCCTTCGGTGAAATGAGTCCTATGGCAAAGTCACCGATTATGCCTCCACTCAGCACGGTTTACCCTTGTATCTTCATGATTTTGCCCACTTTATTTCACAGGCAGAATCTATATCAAGAATTCCAATTCCTTTATGAAGCAAGATCTTGCTTTTGATCCCCGATGAATTTTTGCTTTCCCCAAAGTTGAGAATGCAGGTCGTCGCAACTTATTTTCTCTTTTTTTTTTAATCAGACATTCAAGATGATGTTGACGAACATTACGATGTGTGGTGTGCCATTCACATCTTCATTCGCATGCTTGGGGGGCATCCATCATCACTGGATTATGAAAGAAGGGTAAAGTCAACATAATTACATTTATACATGAGGTTTTTATCCCCCCCCCAAAAAAAAATCTATGCTCAGAGAGAGGTTTTACATGTGACGTAAAATGACGGGCAAAGGCATTTCAGGAGATGTACCATGTCTGTGGAGGCCCGTACATTTTCAAACCCGTGTATTTCATTTGGCAGTTTCATGTACGTCAGAATATTGAGAGACATCAAAGACATGTGCATATCTGTGAGGATTGAATGCTGACCGTAAAAATCATGTGAATGAAAATCCTCTATTGCATGGTTCCATCCTTCATGGCTCCCCAGATCATTGGTTCCAGTGCAGCTGCCCAAACTTAGTAGCTTCTCCACCGTGCAAACCTTCAAATCTTAACCCTCCCCCTTTCACCGATGGCCTGTCTTACTCATAACTGCCTTCAACCCACTTCTCTGTGTTTCACTAATCAAAGTGGGGGGAAAGACATTTCTGAGTAAGCCCACCTCTTTAAAACCATTTTTTTCTGTTCCATATTTACAACCATTTATTGTAATTCACATCTGTACAATTTCCATAAGCACTCCCCTTATCTTACACAAACTCAGGACAAACTGAAAATGCACACGTGGAAGTCATTTCTCTTATTTTTTAAAGATTTCTCAAGAAGTGAGGCTACCACCCAAAACTGATGAGAGAATACTTAAGTTCAGTCACTGGGTCATCAACAGTCGACCCAAAGCAGAGGAAGTTCTGAGCAGTATGGAAGAGCTTGGTGAGTGACCGGTCAATCTTTAAATCATTTTTCAATTTTTTTTCGCAAGTCCATACCAAAAAAGATGTTTTAGTGTGGCAGCTTAGATTATGTAATGAGGATTTTCAGTTGACAGTTAAAAAATCATGAAGTTTTTAAGCTGTGAGCTAGGATCAGTTCATGCATTCCAGTGAAGAACACGTGGCATCTTTGAAAAGGTTTGTGCATGCAGCTCAATAATCCATGATATCGAAAACGAGTTCCAACAGATTTTCTGTCTCTGCTGTCTCTGACCTGAACATGTGCATAATAGACAAATAAAGCAAACTCCGGCTAAGTCGGCACTCTCAGGACTCAAGAAATTATGACGACTTACACGAATGCCGACTTGTGCTGTAAGTCGTCATTTTGCTGACTTACATGAACACAGGTATTGCCTATGTGCATTATGATTCCTTGCACTAATTCAATGGCTTTGATTTACCCTGGTTTATTTCTACCTTCATGGTTGATCAGCAAATTCGTTCTCAATTATTATCCTGCAAATTCAATAATTGATCATGTGCCCCTAAGGACAAAGCAAGGACGGCAAGCCACTTGCAAAGTTGCATATCACATCGCGACTCAATAGTGCAGTACATTCATAGTACATGTACATGATACAGTTACGGTACAGAAAACATACACTCTTCCACACACACGCGCATTGGTTATAGTTCGTTCTATAAAGTCTGGATACCAGACCCGATAATTCTGAATACCCGACGAATCTTCACAGATGCATGTGTTATGGACATCTCCACATGCGTACCAAGTTTCATAAAGATTTATTCTGAGAGGACCCCCTCCTGAGAAATTCTTTTAGGGAAAAGCTTCTTTTAGGGATGTTCTCATGCCTTTCTCTGGAAATAATTAGCAAAGAGTTCCTTGCAAAGTTTGATGCTGCTCCGCTGTTGCCTAACACTTGCGACAGATTTCTTTCCCCTTTTGTTTTTTGGTCATTCAGAGAGTGAGCTCTACTCTGTTCCTGTGACGGGGCCGCCAGGGGGAAACTATGAACCATCCGTAAACGTAAATGGTGTGTGAAAGATTTACAGGAGGTTATACCATGATATGGCACCTGCATCTTCAGTCCTCTGTCAAGAAAACCGACTGTTGGTTTGTATGAAAGCCTAAACTCAATATTTATGACATCATCCGTGTGGCTTCCAGTACATGTACTACATCGGTTTGCACAAAAGAACCGATGGCATATCAGGGGAAGATTCCCCCCCATGGGAACTCTTCCCCCCCTCCCCCCAAAAAACTGTAGTGTATTGATAGGCATTAATTTAGTGTGAACAAAGAGCTCTTGAAAGAGCCATCCATCATGAAAACTCTGTGGTACCCCCTTCCCAGAAGAGTATAGCTCTGCCACTGACAACGACTGCCTAATTGTTTAAGATTTATGCAAGCCTACCTTATCTTTTCTGTGGTGATTATTGTTGAGTAAATATATAACGAAAACCAAGCAAGCAGATCTTTCTAGAAATGTTTTCGGTGCACAAACTGTGGGTTCACAATTTGAACAAAAATCCTATGCATGGAATCTTGTCTTCCCTGGATGACTTCACAGCAACAGTGCCTTCAGTTGTTCAGGAGTACAGGGCAATATTTGATGTTTTTAAAAAAGTGTAGTTTTCAATACATTTAAACTATTAAAGGGATGTCAAATGAATGTCAGTCAAGAAAAGTATGAAGTTGTAGAAAAACTGTATCTGAGAAAATTTTATTTCCACTGCCTTTAAGTGTGCCTGCATGGGATAAATGTCCTTGAAAGGTTGTACCATCACAAAAATTCAATCCTTGGCGCTGCCAAACCTAACTATAATTCTATCATGAACTTTCAAGTTTGTTTTCAATACGGGACCCATCATTTTGTTGGATAGGTCACAAAGGTCGCCATATTCTGTGCCTTAATTTTATATGGATGAGCATTCCATTATGTATTCAAAGATTTTAAAATGAGTTTTAGTGTTACAGGTTTTATGAACTCATGTCAAGTGATTTGAATGCCTTTTAATGTACACGGGATGCATTACATCAAGGACAGTTTCCTACATCCCATCTATTTTGCCAAGTCTACGACTGCTTTAAAGATGCGAATAAAATGATGTGCTGGTCAGCATGCTTCATGTCCCATGTGGTTCAGTGCATGCTGGCCGAAGTACTTAGCCTTAAAGTTTTTAACTTCTATTTTTTAACTTCAGTATAAGCAACTGGCACATGCGAAAATAAATATTTTCTCCAAGTCTAACTGAATGTTCATTTGTGTTTTAAAGATTTATTACACAGAACCTGAAGTATTAACATGAAAAGTTAATCATCTAACCCTCCCCCCCTTATAACTGTTTGTTCTCTGTACTGTCCATGAAAAGAAGAGACTGGGTGTTCTTAAATGCCCATTTTGTAAAATGTGGGAGTATCTGTTTTACACTGTTTTAAATAATTAAAGGAGAAAAACCATTCCACAAAAACAAAAAGTCCTCCCAGAAGAACACATCTGTGCCCGGTACACTTGATAAACTAGTTGCTCTGGATAGAGGTAGGGATACAGCCAGTGTTGGCAGAACAATTTTTAAAGTGGGGGGAGGGGGGGGCAGTTGTGAGATCTGAGTTGTGAGGCTGATCCACCAAGCTCCACCCCCTTGTAGGACCTGCAAAAAGTGAGGGGCCATACCCCCCAGTTGAAAAATTTGAGGGGGGAAACTGTCAACTGGCCCCCTTGCCCTGTTCCACCACCATATCCCATCGTCTTGCTGATATTTGGCTGGGGATCGAGGGATATCATCATCAATCTTGATGACATCGGGTAAAGGTGATCCCCAAATTCCTGTAAAGGACATGCCCAATTCGAGCCAATGGCATGCTCGATTCCAGCTAATGGCCTCTGGACTGACTGTGCCACCCTCCCACACAACACGACAGAAGTTTGACCAATGATTGAAAAAAAAAATCATTACTTGCAATCAAGACTTAATGATAAGAAGAAGTATTGTAACTTTTCTGCAAAAGTTCTTGGCACATACGTTTCGAAGCAATTCAGTCTTTTTTTATTTCTTCACTTACAGCAGTATGGGAAACATCTGAACATAGTAATAACTTTATTTTTGAACAAGCAGAAACAAATTTCAACAACTTGATTTGCATTAAATTTTGAAAACTTAAATTTGGGTCGAGTCAAATTTTTGCCTTGAAATATTCATTTGTGTCATAATAGTGGAAAAATATGTTGAAAACATACCCAATGATGGATCCGGTGGGGGCAATGGGGCAATGCCCCCCCCTCCCAAAAAAGATGAGGTTTTTTTAAAATCAATCCGAGTGGAGATATTAAGTGATTTAAATGGAAGTTGTTTTGTGTGGGCAGAGCTGTTTTGTTCCCGAAACTGTTTCTGATGAGCAGCTTCCTAATTGCAACTGGTGTTACCAGTTAACGCAAAGTGTACCGAGGACGCTGCGTGCTTGTGCCCCCCACTCCACAGAGGGATCTGGCCTCGGCACACACACACACACATTAGTTTCACATGCGTAGTGTGGACATCCCTGAGTTTTCCTGTGGTTAAGAAAACTTACACAAAATGCTCCTTTCTCTCCCCCAAGATAACTCCTTGGAGCTGGAGTTGTAATGATGATTTCCTGGACTATTCCTCTGCATAACCTGATCCCAAAATGCCTCTAAAGCTGCTTTTGATGAGGGAAAGGTCCAGGACAGTTACCATACAAAAATGAGATTGATAAGCCACTGGTTTGACTTACTCTGACCAATTCATCGAGTGGTTCCGCTTGCAAATACTGTTCCCGTGACTTGGGTTCTTGAGTCTTGCATTCACTGGCACAATTTTAGCATAGCTCACGGCTGAAAGAGAGGGTTAGTTTACCTTGAGTGAACATGACATGCTAATTGTCCCTGATTTCTTGCTTGCTTCAGTCTTGGTGTCAAATTACCTGTTGAAGGAACAAGAATGATTTGTAATTAACAAACAGTAATGCCCTGCCAAACCCATGCCCAAATCCACACCTTTAATTTGGACCATAATCAAGATTTGTCTTGTTTTAGCCACCGACCTTTACCCTTCACCTGTCAGGCTCAAATACAGTACGGCTTGTTTGGATTGCCAAAAATATGTACATTTGAAGTTCTTATGCAAAGAAAGTATTTCCTGCCATGACAAAGTTTCTCTTTAGCCTAAGTGACCTTAATCATTTGGTAACAGTTATCATAGTGCTATTCACTACGATTTCCCATTATTATTACCCGCTAAAATGACTCTGAAACATTCCAAATACCACCTCATTACTCTGGGTAATCAGCCTAGAATCATACTGCTGTTTGATGCAACCATTTCGGCGCAAAGCACCTAAAATCAACCACAATCTTGATTTATTCAGCCAATGATCGTATAGGAAAAATAGGAACTCGTATAATGTTGGACTTACTTAATTTGTAGAAAAGCAACGAGTGATATTAAAGTGCCTCGCCAAGACCAAAATGACTCGGTTATAGCCTACCGTAGCAAACTCACCTTCGATTGCAGGAACAAGCCGGCTATCCTGCCAGGTCTCCATGCCCGCGAAAAAAATGACGATTCATACTTGTGCAAGGTGCGCCACATGGTTCCCGACTCCTATGTACGGTGTATAGTCTTCAGGCCTCATTCGTTTTAACGCGTTCCAGAGGAGTCCGTCGACTGCCGGACGAGGGTCGCTGATGATTCGATTGGGACGGGTTCTCACAGAACAATATTTTCTTCGCGTCTTGAAGAAACCTACTAACGTCGCAGAAAACAGAAAGGGAAGGGGGAACCTTAACTTTGAAAGACATTTGGTCCATCCACTGTGTGACTGTCACCACATTCCCTGAGACAGTAGGCCCCTCATCGCTATTGAGTCACAGGAAAGCCACAGACCCAGACGTCTGGGTGCACCCTCGTATTAAGGCCAGTATTATGTCCGCCTAGCTCATTAATAAAAGTTATAGACTCAAAATATTTTATATTAGAGGGCCCTGAGGGCATGGAACTGAGGGAATTGAAGAAATTTGACACTGAACCCCTGGTCCGGGACTCAGGGCTTCCAATTCTGAACAATTTAGATGCAATCGGGTGCGACTCAGAATGGCACTATTTGAGCCATTTTGCAGACGGGGGATGCATTTTCAAATTGGCTACTTTCCCGGGCAGTGAAATTTCCTTCATTTTAGGGGTGGTTTGCTTTGGGTGAGAATTTCTCAAAAATTCATTAGTCAACCCATTTAGAATTTAAAGGAAAATGAAAGAGGACATGTGGAACATAATTTTTCTGTGCAGCCTGAACACCTGTGAGAGTTGTGAGTATTTTTAAAATATTTGTCACGTATGGGGATTATATCACTGCTGTCTATGAGATTTTATTTTTAGGGGTGCACCCTCTTGCGCGGCAGGTGCCCACGAGCAGTATATACACTGACTGACAGGTGTCTAAAAACGTTTCAAAAATTTACGAAGTACATGACGACGGTTTGCTAATCAACACTTACTCAAGCTTTGAATGTCGAAAACGCATAGACACAAAACCTATAACATGGCTCCCAGAGGAAGGGAGCAGCCGCTGGAATGACCCCATTGGCGGGAGGCGGCTGTCAGAAAGCCACCCCTTCAACAAAACGGGCAAAGATTCACCATAATAGCAGAGTAATACACCAGTCATTTAATATAATATTTCATTTTTTATCGTTTTATCGATTCAGGCCAACATATCCCTTAAAATAAAGGCTATCACCCAAGACTAGACACAAAATACATGTAATCCAAATGCAGTCATTCAGATTTCTTCAGATCATGATTTCATTATAATCATTTAAATGTAAATTCACATGTTAAGATGTTACATAGAAGTTTTAGCTTTGATGTCAATCAAGCCTTGCTGTTGAAGACATGACTGATTTATAATTCTGTTTATTTTGACAACTAGATATACATAATTTCAACTTTCCTGATATGTACTATACGTACTATAATTGTATTGAGATGATTTGAGAGTTAATACAAATGTAGTAAAATCTATTTTTCAACAAAGTGTAGCTTTGTTTTAAAATTACATTTCAATTTAAACTATAACAAATATACATATAACAAAGTTAATAAGAATTTCTTTAAGATTTACTTTTTACCTTGGAAGATTACACATTGCCCTGCCAAGCCACGGAATCCAACTGCCACTACGAATTAGGAATTAGATACTTCATAAATAAACTTGCACTTTCTCCACCCATAGCTGTGGCACTGTGGGCTTCTTATCCTAGGCCAAGACTATTAACAGTTAATCATCTCAAGAGCAAAGGAGGAGATCAGTGAAGCACCCTATGTTTTGAAAAGACAGGGACCATGCATAACTCCCACCCCCAATTTTGTTTAAAGAGAAGGTGCAATAATCAAGATGCTGACAGCCAATGCAGAGTGTACATTTCTATTCAAGGAATGTCTTGAGCACTGCAAACAATTTTTGCTATTCACGGAAACATCGAGAATCAAATTTTCTGAGGAGTCGCAATGTTACTGAGGTGGGGCCAAAAACATGACTCTTTCATCAAATACTTTTCATGGTTTTACTTACGGGACAGCAGAAAATGAAATGGCTCACAAACTTTGCCAACTTTTTGTGTCTTAAAAATACCCACAAAATTTCCCTCTGAGTTGACAGGGGCATGGCTACACCCCCCATATAGAAGTAGCATATACATTGGTTTTGTAATGGTCTTGTGGGGTCTTGTGATTGTCTGCAGAGGTTGCAACTCCAACACCAATAAACAGCATTTTCTAGTGTTCAAACCAACCCATACCTATCCACTCCCTCACTCACCTCTGAATTTGAGGCAAAGGTAATAGCAACCTCCCCCACCCAACAACTTGCAAACTGGATCCATGAATCACAAACAAGAGGCCTGTGACATTTATTTCACACAGATGCAGGGATGGGATCAGTGATCCCAAACCTAGACCAACCAGGCTTTTCTGGATTATGCTTCAATGGATCCGCCATGTGTGTTTGCAGGATCAAAGATGGCACTCAGTCTATAAAGTGTTGGAGCATCGGTGAGCATGTGTGACAGTACTTCCTCCTAGATCTTTCAAAATATATTTTGAAATATAAAATGATGTGACAACATTTTTGGCTACTTTGGCCATTTTTTTAACAAATGCTTTCGTAATCTATATATTTTCATTTAGATTTGTATCCGGGGAGACATGTCCCCTATCCCCCCCCCCGATTAACGCCCATGCATAGTACATTACAAACATGCCCCTGCTTACCCGACTGTGTAGTAGCAACATAACATTAAAGTCAAGCAGGTCAAGTGAATTTAGAAGGTTCAAAGCTACACAAACCATATACAAAACCCCAGCCCTCTGAACAATGTCGTAAACAATGTGTGACTCTCACACACATGTACACAAGGCCTATACGCAGAGTCTGCCAACACAGTCAACGTTGCGTACATTGCCAAATCCCGATGCAACAAGTTTGACCCATGGATGTACACTGTATACTCTGTTGCAATCTGCAAATCTTTCAGCTCCATGTAGACTTTGAAACACCGCCCTCAATCGACACTATTTGCAAATTACAGCTCGCAACGAAAACTGGCCCTGAAACTCAGTGGGTTGTTCAGCTTCAGTGTCTTGAGATGAGCATATCATGGCTCCGGTAGCAAAATTTTCGGAGGCAGTATGTACCATTGGTTTTTGTCAACATTTCTCACCAAACTTTGGCAAATAAAAATTCATGAGTTGTTCTTTCTTTTGCAATTTACTTCCTATTGATGCATACAAGAATATGACCTTATAATTGTTAAGCTCTGAACAAACTATACAGAACCCTGCTGTCATGAGTTTGCGCATGTGCAAATGCAGACTTTACAAATTTCTGGTAATGTGGAAGTATGGATTCAGTTATCAGCATGTTTCATAAAATTTGTTTTCACGGCTGTGATAGGATGGGGGCCTATTCACCAACCAGTCACTCTGAATCGAAAAACCCAGACATATCAGTGTCGTCCCACTCTGCCCTGGGTGGTTCGCAGGGCCTGGGGTTCTCATCTGGCAGTGTCTGCACTCCAATAGAGGCCTCATCCAGACCCTCGTCGTCCATGACGGCTGGGACACTGTCTAGGTCCTCCTCTGTGGGAAGAAAACAAAACCCAAAAAAGGCCGTCATTCTCAACTGGTATGACACTTTGGAATTCACTCATGAGAACTTTTGACAAACAAGAAGCCCCCACATGGCTAACTGACAACTGAGCTGACATTCTGAAGTGAGGGACTTACTTCCAAATTTCAATTCACTTCGGAGGAAATTTTCACTTAATTTCACTAATTTGTTGTATTACGAGTTAGATTTAACACTAAAACCAGATGCCTAATTTCCAGATACCTGCTATGAAGTGTTGAATGATCGGTAATTGGTCATTTGCTGAGACCAGTGAGCACAACGTTGCCACTGGACTTTACAGTTTGGACAGCCAAATTTCTGATATCAAAACAACTGTTAGCAACCAGCACGATAAGAATCTTTTAAGATATCCAATAAATTATGTTCCCTAAAAGAACCATATTTCAGTTGGGCAGTGGGGCCAAAGTTTGTTTATGGGGGTAGGTGCATCCCTCAGCCCCGGCCACGTTGTTGGTCACTCACCGAGGTAATAAGGCCAGTTCTCCAAGGTCTTAGCTGCTGACCTCTCAGGATCCTCCAAAACACCCTCGATGAATTGTTTTAGTCGTTCGTCAGTTCTTGGTGGTATCCTCGCCCTGGGTGTATGCTGAACTTAAAGGAACCCATGCAGCAGTGTTAAAAAAAAGGAATTGCAGTGCACCAGCTGAAAATACAGGCAATACCACTTCAGTCTTTGTCTTGCTATTTTTCAGGGTGTCCTTGGCCTGTCTGTTTTTTCAATGCAGATGTCCACAGTCATGAGCAGCAACAGGCTTGTTGGAAGCTATAATCCATACAGAAAATCCTTCAGTTGGATTTCACACAAATCCAAATGGGCAATGAAGGGTGGTGAACTTTTCAGCGGAGGAAAAAGGGGTTTCCCCTGAGTTTATCAAACACATCAGAGACACAGACGATTTGTGGAAAATACAGAACGTAAGACTGTACATGTACAAGGAAAACAACTGAAGTTTGCTAGGGAAAAAGGGGGGGTTCCCCTGAGTTTGTACAGTTCCAAGGCTGTAAAAAATAGAATGGTCCATAAAAGAACGGGAATTTTCCAATGAGAGGGAGAGCACAGGTTTCTCATTTTAAAGTTTGTGCATCACAGAAAGACCATCCATGAAAGCAGTGTGGCCTTTTCTTCAGCTTATTTCATATCAAAATTGACCTGTCACTTGCATCGAGACATGCATAAAAAATACCATAATGAGAATTTCTCAACTTCTTTTGCCTCTTCCATCCTCCTCAGTGTTCTGTCCAAAAGAGCACCCACAAGTTGTTGCAACAGTGGCATAACTGGGGTGAAGTTTCTGAAGGGGTACTGTGAGGGTGCACAACTTTGGTTCAAGGGAACTGTCGTTTATACACAGGCCGTGTGCATTTCAAGATTTCAAAGGTGGGAGGGGGGGCATAGTTATTCCACCATTGTGACAACAACAGATCTTTACCTTAGGCCCCTGCAGGATAGAAATCAATGCATGCATAACGCCGTCCACATCCGGAGCAAGTTGATTCACTCCTGTTGAATGAAAAGCAG